CACACACACACACACACACACACACACACCCTCAGCGGACTTCTGCACTGCAGCCAATCACCACTCCTCTGAAGCCCTCTGTGGCAAATTCCAGACTTCCCATCCCTAGCCCAACAGGCCCACTCAGCCCTCAGTGGGCTGCAGGCGAGGGTGAGATGGCAGCAGAAGACACCTTCTCATCCTGCCACCGTGGAATGCTTGCTAAGGACCTTGCCTGCCAGCCAGCTCCTTCCCACCCCCCAGCCAGCTGGAAGACCTCCATGGTGGAGGCCAAGACCCTCTTCCCAATACCAGGGCTTGGTCTGCAGCTCTTTCGCTGGCTCCCAGGAGCCCCAGCCCTGCTCTTTATGCTCTGTGTCCTCCACCCGTCCTGGGCACTGGGCACCTCCAGAGGGTCCTCTGCTCGGCCCACAGGCCAGCATTGCTGACCCCCAGCAGTGACCTGGGTTCTATATTAGCTGGAGCTCCTGGTGTCATCTGGCCTGCCCTGGCCTGCCTCAACTGCTTGTCTCTACAGGTTGAGAGAGCCACCAAATCCTGCCCTCCCCTGCCCCAGGCTCCAGGCCACTCCTCCTGGACCCCAATGTCTTACACAAATCTCTGCGCCACATTAAGTCTCCCCTGCCTGTGATCCCACACTGGGCCAATCACTACCTGCAGAGCCCCTCTTTCCTCCTGCCCCTGGAGCTAGTACCAGTGAGGGGGCTCAGAGAGGTTGAGTCAGCTGCCTAAAGTCACAGAGCTACTGAGCATCAATACAGGATTCAGACTCCATGCAGCTGGCTCTAGGGTAGTTCTGGGGAGAGGATTAGTGACAAAGTCTGCTTATAGACTGGGCTGCCATGCAGGTCTGAGTGCCAATTAAAGAGAAAAAGTAAGGCCAGGCCTGGTGACGCACACCTGGAATCCCAGCTACTCTGGAGGCTCAGCCAAGAGGATAGAAAGTTTTGGGCCCAGCTTGGTTAACTTAGTGAGGCCCTTTCTCCAAATAAAACATCAAGATAGGGCTGGGGATGCAGCTCATTGTAAAATCCCTAGGTTTAGTACTGCAAAGAGTAATAATAAATAATACTAACAAAAAATAAAAGGGATTGGAGAGGTAGCTCAATCTGAAGACACTGGGCTCAATCCCCGCTACTACAAATAATATTAATAATAATAAAATAAATAAATAAAAAGGGCTCAGGCTGCAGCTCAGTAGGCTCCATCCCCCAGTACCACAAAAACAAAACAAATGAGACAGGAAGGTGGGTGGGGTCCCAGAGTGTCAGAAGCGCGGGCCAGGCCCGGAGTGCTCACGTGGCGGAGACGAGGGGGATCCAGGGTCTGGGGGTGGCCCGGGTCAGGGTCCCAAGGGCGCCGGTGGAACCCATGCTGCTGCCCGGGAAGGAGCCGCGAGTCCTGGCGCGCCGGGAGCAGCCCGGGCCGAAGGCGGTTGGCGCGCAGACCAACCGCCGGCGCCCACCCCGCGCTCCCGACCCCCTACCCTGGGCCGCCCTCTAGGTTGGCGGGACGACAGCGGGCTCTAGGACAGCGGGCACTGGCGGGGGACTCCGCGCCCCGGACGCGCGCGCCACGTGCTCCGCCTCTGCTCTCTCGCGCCTCAGGGAAGCGGGGCCCCTGCCCGGTCCCCGCCGCCACCCCGTCCTAGCGGGTCGCCCCTCCGGTACACCCGGCCGCGCCGCACCTGTCCGGCGACTCCTCTGCGGACCCGGCCTTCCACACTTCCCGCGCCGGGGAGTCCTCTCAGCCGGCCCAGCGCCCCTCCGCGCCCGCCCTCCCCTGGCCCCGCCCCGGCCCCGCCCCGCCAACCAGCAGGGGGCACTCAGGCCCCCAAGGGACACCCCGGGTCTTTGCCTCCCAAGGAACGCCTTCCCAGCCCCATCCGCCGCCAGTGTGCCCCCAGGCGTCCCAGCGCCAGACCTCTCCTTTCCCCAGCGCTCCCTTTTTCTGCCCCATCTTCTTAGTTCCCCCCTTTTCCCTTCCAGAAGGCTCTTACACCCTTATCCTGCTGAGTCCCCCCAGTTAGCTGCTTTGTGTCCTGTGTGGAAGACTATGTGTCCCAGATTATGGGACACCCCCCCCACCCCGTCCCCTGCCCAGACACCAGGGTGTGTGTGTGTGTGTGTGTGTGTGTGTGTGTGTGAAGGGGAAGAGACACTGCCCTGAAGCCTCCTCCTGGTTCTATTTCCTACACCAGCACTTGGTAAAACCGAGGCACAGAGAGGAGGCCAAAAGAAGCCCACATCCTGTGTGGACACTTTGTTCCCATCGTCTTGATGGTCAGTGTGCACATCCTTGCAGCCTGGAGCAGGGAGGGTGGGCTGCTGAGGAGGGTTACTTCCGATGGGACAGGATTCCATCCCGTGAGCCTGGCATGGTGGAGCAGGCCTACATTCCCAGCACTGTCTCAGGCTGAGGCAGGAGGATGGGGAGCCCAGGGTCCAGACTAGGCAACTTAGTAATTTAATAAGACCCTGTCTCAAGAGAAAAAATAAAAGGGGACCTGGGGATGCAGCTCAGTGAGAAGGTCCAAGCCACAAAAAGAATGTTTGTTAGGCTGTAAATGGAGAAAGGGGTTCCCCCTACAGCAGATCTTAGTGCTAAACAATAACTCAAAATCTGCACAGTCCTCAGGAGAGAAAATCCTATCCAGGCCGCCCCTACCACCACCACACACACACACAACCCAGATACCCAAGGGCCTTGGCCTCTGGAGAAGCCGCAGCCGCTAATTAACAATTAGCAGTAGGAGCAGCCTAGGGAGGTGGTATGAAGCCACACCCTGTCCCACCAAGCCTGGGCCTCCACAGTGGGCTCTGCCCAGGCTACTCCAGGAGGGCTTTCTGACTCCTACAGAGATGACACACAGCTTCTCTAGGCGCTAAGCAAACAGGGCAGGAAGACTGGCGTGGGTGGTATTTTTCTAGCTGCTGCCCCTTGGTCTGTCGCCTGCCCAGATTCCCGCTCTCCTGTTTTGTCTGATCTCTGGCTCTTCCTCTCCAAGTCCTCACCCGCCTCTGCCTTGGCCCCTGTCCCTCTCCCACCTTCCTTCCTGGCTCTGACCTTAAGAAGGTAGCAGACTGGTGGTCACAGAGATCTGCTGGGCACACCAGGCTGGTGGCCTTTGGTCCAAGTTGTGTGCTTAGGGAGCTGGTAGTGGAAAGAAGCCACAGGGTCAGGCAAACGGGGGAGGTTGGTTCCCTGCTGCTTGGTAGATGGTAAGAGCCAAGCTTGTTGTTGTTGGAGAGAAGCCCACCTGGCACGCACCCGCCTGGCCCCAGCCAGCACCCACGGACCGACTCCCAGGCAGAGCTGGGTGCTAGATGCCAGGGCCCCCTGCTGGACAGCGTGGGAGCCCAAACACACCCAGGCCTGTGTCTGGCATTCTTTCTCCTGCCCAGCCCAAGCAGCCTCTCCATCCTCATCCTGTTACCAGGATGCCTCCCACCCATTCTCAGTTGGATTTGTGATTGTACCACAGGTCCTTGAGCAGGACTGGAATGACAGTCAGGCTAGGTTTGGCCTAAAAAGTCAAATTGAAGGGGATGTCAGAAAAACTCAGTGATCAATATAAATTATAACTGTAAGGTATGTATTTTGTTTTCTGTTGCTTTATGGTGCTTAGGATCAAATTCAGGGTCGCCTATATGTTAGGAGGGATGTGCTCTATCACTGAGCTACACGCTTAACCTGAATGCAACATTTAAAAAATCAAAGTTAAATGGGAAGAATGGTGCAGTTCTATAATCCCAGCTATTCTAGAGGCTGAGTCAGGAGGACCAAAAGTTCTAGGAAAGCCTGGGCTACATAGTGAGTTCAAAGCCAGCCTGAACTACATAGTGAGACTTTGTCTCAAAAAAAAAAAAAAAAAAAAAAAAAAAAAGACAAAAAAAAACCCTCATCACAAATAAAAATAAAAATTAAGAAAGGATGGTGCAAGTCTGCAATCCCAGATAGTCCAGAAGCTGAGACAGGAGGATTGTAGGCTGGGGCCAGCCTAATTTTATTTTTTATGGTACTGGGGATTGAATCCAGGATCTTCACTGAATTATATCACCAGCCATATTTAAAAAAATTTTTTTAGGGTGGGTGTCACTAAACTGGTAAATTGTCTAGGCATAGCTCAAATGTGTAATCCACCTGCCTCAGCCTCCCACAGTGCTAGGATTATCCTATGCATCAGCATGCTCAACTGAGCCTGAGTAATTTATCAAAAAATAAAAAAGAGCTGGAAATGCAGTCCATTGGTAGTCCCTGGATTTAACCTTAAGCGTGAGGGGGTGTTCATGTAGACCCACAGTGCACACTATATCGGAAATTTTAAATAGTGACAGATGTGCACACGGCGTGGGTACTAGGTCAGAGTTCAAGCATTCTTTTTTTGCTATCTAGGCCTGGGCCTGGTCTTCCGGTCTAACTGCTCAGGCCGCTGCCAGCTACTCTCTGCTCTGGCAAGTCTCTGACCTTGGGACCAAGAGTAGGTGCTGGAAGGGCAGTCATCTAGCGTCACCTCCAGACTCCCTGACAACTGTCCTCTCTGGAAGAGACCGCAGGCACGGCCTCTCCGGATGACGCAGCGCCTAAGCCCAGCAACGGTCCCCGCCCGCGTGCGCCCCCGGGCCGCGTGGGAACCTCGCGAGCCCCTCCCCTTCCACCTCTGCCCCCTCCCACCTGCTGCGGGCGGCTGAGGCGTCCGGCCCTGGGCAGACGCTTCCGCCCCACCCCACCCCCACCGCACCCCACTTGCACCCCACCCCCACCTCGCCCCGCCTCCTCACCTCCGGGCCGCAGCCGCTGCCGCAGCCATGGCGAGGGGGACAGGTGGGCGCGCTGCCCGGCGAGGGGGACTGCGACAGCGGGGATGCAGCCGCCTTGGCACCGGTGGGAGAAAAGGGGGGCGGGGAGGAGGAGGAAGAGGAGAAGGGGGGGCCGCGACAGGCCCAGGAGGCGTGGCCGGCCTGGCCGGGAAGGTGAAAGCGCCCCGCGGCCGGCCTTTTGGGGTACCCGGACGCAGAACCTGGAGGGGGCTGGGCATGCGCCCTGGCCTTGAAGGACTCGGGAAGAAGCGGGTCGGCTCGGGTCAGGCCGGGTGCGGGGGATGGGGTTCCCCTACAGGGGCCTGTGTCCCACGTTGTCTCCTCCTAGCCTGGATCCCCAGCCCATCCTGGAGTCTAGGATGGCTGCTGAGAACCACAGACAAATGATCCTGAGGCCTGGATGCAAATGTGTCACAGTCTGTGGGACAGGGCCCCCATGGGGAGGGCAATAGAGGCTGGCACCAGTTTTCAGATCCCCTCAGCCCTCCTGGGAAGCACCCTCACACTTGTCCCCAGGGTCCTTTAGCAAACAGAATTGTCTTCCCCACCCTACAGCTGAGATGTCCTCAAATTTGCTCAAAGACAAACAGCCCCCCTGCCTCCAAGCCATCTGCTTCTCTCGACAGACCGGAGCCCCAGAACCGTTAGTGGTCGCTGAGCAACACCATTTCCCAACCGAGTCAGGCACTACCCACAGCTTCCAGGTCTTAAGGGCTGAGCTGGAAATGGAAGGAGTAGCCAAAGGGAGGTGCCTATGGTGGGCAGTGGTGGCACATCAACCCCAGCATCCAGGAGACTGAGGCAAGAGGATTGCCAATTCCAAATTCAAGGCCAGCCTGTGCTACACTGTGAGACCCTGTCTCAAAACAAACAAAACTCCACAAAATCAAAAAGAGTACCTTGAGACTGGGTGCCCCCCTCCCTGCTAGCTCAAACTGTCTTGCTGGGCAGAAGTATGGGTGACAAGACTTTCAAAGGCACCCCAGGAATTAGCAGGTATTTATTGAGCTGTCTTCCATCCTTGCTATGTTCTGGCCTTTGGGAGTAGGTCAGCCTCCAGGGGTCTTATTCTTTAAAGGTCAGTCCCAGGTCTGGAAGGCAGTTTGGATTCACATATCCCCTTTGAGCTAAAATACCACTTAGCCCCCCACCGTGAGGCATTGTGCATCACTGGGCTTTGCTGTCCCTGTCTGCTGGAGGCCAGGTCCGCTGGAGGCCAGGTCCCTGTCTGCTGGAGGCCAGATTCAGGGAGTCCTTTCAGGAGGACCCCATTCATGCCCAGTGCCATGCCAGGCTGTGGCCGAGTGGTGCCAGGACCAGCCCACTCCAGAGGGAAGTGCTTTGCCACCACGGCTGCCAGGAGCATGGCATCACTTTCGGGGGCCTCGCCTCTCCTTCTGCTCCTCAGGGTCCACTCTGGAGGCTTCCCTGGCGTCTGGTGGATGTTGCTGGCTGAGGACAAGCAGCAGGCAGCCCAGCACAGCATCCCGAGTGTCCTGTGAGCCCAGGCGTTGGGCCAGGCGGCGCAGCAAGGGCAGGAGGTGCTGGCGGGCCAAGCGGGCAGCAGGCAGCAGCAGGCGGGACAGCAGCGTGCGCACCAGCAGCGGGAGCAGAGGGGCGGGCATGGTGACCAGGCTCCTGCGAAGGCAACCCTGACTGTAGATCCCAGCCCCTGCTTCTACCTCCCTGCAGTTTAAACCCTTCTGCTAACCACCCTCCTCATGTACACCTCCACCCTTCAGCCTCCTTCCTTCAATCTCCTTTCAACTTCCTCTTTCAACCCAGCAGAAAATTTCACCTTTTCTTTGGAGGCCCTTGATCCACCCAGACCTGTACTCCCTCCCCTCCTGTACTTTCCCATAACCTCACCGATTAGGGGCAGCTCTCACCCTTCAAAAGGGCTGCTCCGAGCCGACTCTGGCTGGCTTTGCCTGCAGTGGAGACAGCCTCACTGCTAGACCCAACACAGGCCTGCCCCACCCAGTGTGGCCTGCTTGGGTGGGGAACAATGGGGACAGCTGTAGTCTAGCACCTGGCATATTCAGGCGCATGGGCAGCTGGCTGGTTGCCTTCCCAGGCTGTGTGTGAGGAGGGAACAGATGCGAAATTCCCCAGCCAGCGTAGACCTCCAAGTTGGAACCTAGACTGTGCTTTCAAATGTGGGACTTGAAGCATCTTCACTCAGGGTTCCGGACCCCTCGTTTGCAACCTCATCACTGGGGGCATCTGGGAGGGAGAGCTGGAGAGGACAGTATGTGACACATACCACATGTCCAGGTCTCAAGTATGGTCTGGAGTGCAGCCAGATACACGCACCCCAGACATCAAGTGGGCAGCCATCCACTCTGGGGCAGGGCAGCGAGGGCACCGTCCATCACTGAGCCGGGCACAGCTGACACAGCTTGAGCATTCCCACACCTGGACAGCAAGGTGTCACCCAGCCTAAGACCCTCTTTTACTTGCTCCCCCCAGATGGAAGGGGTCACTGGAGGTAGCCAGGTGCAGTGACTCGGGTCTAAGCCTGGGTTTTGTTTTCTAACACTTCGTTCTACTTCACGCAATACTTTTTTTTTTTTGTACTCGGGATTGAACTCACGACCTCGTGCTTGCCAGGCAGGCGCTTACGCCACTAAGCTAAACCCTTGGCCTTAGATAATGCATTTTAAAAATTTATCTTTATTAGTACCTATTTGCAGTCATAATGATCACATTCACTGCAGGGAGTTGGTACCTGCCCCTAACATCTTAGTTCTCTTTACTTTTCCTTCCCCGCCTTTTCTCACTCCATAACTTGGTCCCCTTCCCATTTGCAAAATATCCAACTTCTTGTTTCCTGTCTTTTACTTTGCTCTTTAAGTTATTTATACTTTGGGTCTCATATAAAAGATACCATACCATATGTAAGCTGTGTGTCTGATTTCTCTAACATTGTTGCCCCAAAGTACACCCACTTTCCTACACAGCAAATAGGTTTAATCTTTATCTTGCTGGATTCCAGGGAGAGAATGGTACGCAATGTTGTTCAGATTTCAGAGCCTTGGGAAGGTGATCCTTTATCTTCATCTGCCAGCACTGCCATTGACATCAGTGTCACCTCCAGTTACCATCAAGGACCTTGGAGATAGAATCTTCTGATGGTTTCCAGAGGAAGCTGGGCCACATGCTCAACCCAGGGGATGCTGTGGATATAGATGGAACACGGTGTGCCCATCCTGAGTTCATATTTCAGTATTTTTCACCGCTACCCGTTCATAGGGAGGTAGTGATTATAACCATCCTATATGTGTGGAAACAGCCTCAGAGTGGTTTTGCCTCAGACCAAGTCACAGAGCAGGAAAATGGCCTGATCTCCCCTAGACCTGCCCTATCCTAAGCTTTCCTGTTTCTCAAAAGTCATTCTATGTTCTTTTCTGCCAAATTCTCATGTTTCTACTTCCAAAGTATCCATAATTGAGGCTTGGGGTGTAGCTCAGAGGTCAACACTTGCCTGGCAAGTGGAAGGCCCTGGGTTTAATCTTCATCTCTTAATATGAAGAATCTTGCTGTGCTCAGTAGTGTACACGTAGAATCTCAGCATTCAGGAGGCTGAAGCAGGAAAATCCGGCCTAGTCTGTGCTCCAGAGTGTTCAAGGTCAGTCTATATCACAGCAAGACTTCATCTCCAAAACAAAACTACAGGCTGCTATTTCTCTGAAGTTCACATCAAATCATCCAACCTCGATTTGCAGGACTTTGAGGAAAGCACAGCTCCTGTTCTTAGTCATTCTGAGAAAGAATTCAGGATTCAGTCCAATTTATAACTTCAAAGATAATCTGATAATGAGTACATTATAGTTTCCTATCAAAACTTTTTTTTGGATCAGTGCTAGAGATTGAATTTAGCACCTTTACATTCCCAGCTTTTTGCTTTTTAAAAATTTTTTTATTATCTCACTAAGTCTCCCAAGCTGGGCTTAAACTTGTGACCCTCCTCCATCATTGTCTCAAATAGCTGAAATTACACACATGCCACCATGACCAGCTTCAAAAGGCTTTTGAAAGTCTAGTCTGAGATTCTTTATTTAAATGTCCATCAGAAAACCCGGTCTCAAAAATAAACAAAAGTAGCCAGGCATGGTGATTCACACCTGTAAATCCAGCACTCGAGAGACTGAGGCAGGAGGATTGCTGCCTCACTTACACAGTGAGTTTAAGGCCAGCATGAGCTACCTAGTGAGACATCGTCTCAAAAAACAAAAAGCAAGAATAAGAGGGAGTAGAGGATGTAAGCCAGTGGTAAAGCGGTTTCCAATCATGCAGAACCAGCATATACAAAGAGAAAAAGAAAAGAGGAAAGCAAGAAAGCATGCAAGCATTTTGAAGCTAAACTAAACCAGGAACTTATCTGATTGTTCCTGCACTCTGTATAGGTTTAGGTGAATTCTTTTTGTTTGCTTCTTTCTTTTTTGAGATGATGTCTCCCTATATCATTCAGGCTGGCTTCCTGCCATTGCATCTGATGGTTTAAGTAAATTTTTCTGTTGACATTCCCCAAATATATTGAGGTTCCTGAGTTTGTCAAGAAATGAGGTTTTTTTTTTTTTTTTTTTTTTTTTTTTTTTTTTTTTGGTGCTGGGGATCAAACCCACAACCTTGCGTTTGCCAAGCAGGCACTTATACCGCTGAGCTAAACCTCAGCCCCAAGAAGTGACATTTCTTACCTATCTGTAAGGCAACTGTGATGGCACCAGAAGTAGAGTCATTGCTGTCACTATACCTGCCATGTGGCTCAGAAGCCTTTGGAACTGATTTGTGGGAAGATTTTAGCAAGGTTTGGGGACAGCGGGTAGAGAAGCTCTGGAATGCTGTAAACTGAGCATGATGGGAAATTCCAGGTGCAGCTGAGATCAGAATGCTAAGAATTCAGAAAGAATAGAATGTGCTTCTGAGGTTTCAGATAGGAACAAGACTCCACTGGGAATTGAACTGTTACATTCTGGAAGTAAGTTTATTCATATTTTGTCCATGTCCAGAGTCTTTACAAGAGGCCAAATATAAAGGTGGTGGACTGATATGTAATGTAGCTCAGTGGTAGAAGATTTGCTCAGCATGCATACTGTCCTGGATTTGATCCCCAGTACAGCAAGAAAGAAAAATAAAGGTGATGGACTGATTTCTTCCTTCCTAATGTAGAAGCAGAAATTTCAAAGTAACCCAATATTTAGGGTGTAGCATGGATAATGCTGACTGCTTTAGGCTTATAGTGGGAATCAGGAGCAAAAAATAGAGTAGAAAGACTTTTTAAAAAACTTTCATTTTGGCTAGAAGAGACATTTATAAAGTTGGGGCTAAGACAGGTGTGGTTGCTGAAAGAGGTCTATGCTGTAAAAAGGCAATTGACCATTTTGTGTTGGAACAAGAAGAAAGATACCTTGAGGACATTCCCCAAATCAGCAAAACACCATCCATTGTAGGCTCAAGAGTGCAAACATGTTGACTATTCATTTGAGAAAATAACTCCTGGGCTCCTTGCCAAAGCAAGGCTTCTAAGAGAATTAGTTACCTGGAAGTTATTTCACTGTACTCAGCCACCCAGGCACTCAGAAGCTGCTGCAGCCACAGTCCAAGGGGGACAGGCTACTGCTTCAGTGGCAGCAGGCATTGGCATCATTTATGTGATCTTGGTTTTGCAGATATGCAGAATGCAAGAAATCTCAGGAGCTCCCAGTCACATTTCAAAGGAAGGCCCTGGGAAACCAGGCAATGTGTCACAGACCTGGAGACCCTGACATGCCTGAGATGGCAGCGTGTGAAGCTGTGAGACTGAAGCAAAGCTGCAGTGGCGATCCCAAGGAGTCAGATGCCAGGAATGTGGACTATCTGCTGAGGAAAGCCACAAATAGTAAGCAAAGCCATCCAAAGAGAGGAACCATGTGGACTGCAACCTTCAGGGCCATAGGGTTGGTGCTGCCCATGGGCTTTGGAGGTTATATCTCACCACCATGTGCCCAGGGTGCTAACATGGAGACTGGGAGTTAACCTTTGACTTGATAGGTTTCAGTCTTTCTGTGATCATGTTTGTTTTCTATCCTGCCATTTCTCTCTTTTTGAATGGAAATGTTTCCCCTGTCCCATTTTATCTTGTGAGTGTGAAACTTTCTTTTTGGTTTTTATAGGGGTTGACAGCTAAGAGTTTACCTTTAGTCTCAGAAGAGATCTTGGACTTGGACTTTTGAGCAATGCTGGAACTATTGAGAAATTAGTGTGTTTTGATCACACGAAGGATAGACACATCATGTTAGGTGGAATTATGACCTTGTTATTGTCTCTTATTTGGAGATTAAGTATGGTTTAAGGAGAGGTATTCAGGTGTCAAGTTGACAAGGTGTGGAATTGGGATAATCTTGATTGTCAACTTGGTTTGAGATACACCCAGGAAGCTAATAAATTACGCTTCTGGGTGGGTGGGTCATGAGCATATGACCTCACGGGTTATATCTGGTCCCTGTCCCCTTCCTCTTGGAAGCTCTTTGGGTTTTCAGTGGCATGAGCTGGGCACTTTTCCTCCACTATTCCCTTCTGCCCCTATGTTTCTGCCTTGGAGAGAGCTAACCATGGACTGAAGCCTCCAAATCTGTGAGCCAAAACAAACTTCTCCCCTAAATTGTTTATGTTAGATGTTTTTGCTCCTTTAACAGAATTCTGACTATATTTAGGAACGAGTATGTAAAGACTCCTCCTCCTTCTCACCCCTAGGGTTTGTCTCAACTCTGTAAAGTCAACCTTAGTTCCTTAAAACTATTTGGTCATATCTGATTCTACGCTCATTTCAAAATATGTTCTTCATATTTTGAAGCCTTGGTATTATACTCAGTGTTTCCAACTGTATGTTGCAAGAAAGAGGGTTTTACTGAACTTGTACAAATAACTACACTGCCATAAAAATAAGGATTTTCACTAAGAATTCTGAATTCCGGAGCTGGACATGGTAGTGTGTGCCTGTAATTCCAGCTGCACAGGAAGGAAAA